TCTTATTTGCTATTTTTTTTTTGAAGTTTATAATATTTATATGCGACAAATAGAATAAATAAACTCACTCATCCTCCTCACCTTTGGTGATTTTTGAACCTCTGACCTCCTAAGAGGCCAAAGACTCACATACCACTAGGCCAAAAGTTCTTTGGTCCTATTTGCTATTTTATTGGACACTTTTGAGAAATGTCCTATAAACCAATATTTTTATAAGACATTTTTTCAAATAATATCGTATAAAATAGCTAATACGACATTTTATCTTAAAAACGTACAAAAAAAAACTTGTTAAACGCGTCCTATAAACATACTGTAACACTTTTAGATATGACACTTTTTGATTTAATCCTATAAACTTGAGTCCTTTGAAGTATCTTTTTAGGACGCTTCTAGGTTTCAAGTRTCCTATAAAATCAATTTTGTTGTAGTAAAGGAATAGAGGTGTGAGTGTAATCCATACGAGGTCTCCGGATTCAAGCTCGGTACTAGCCCTCCGCCAATAAGATGCATGCACGATTTACCATCTTATGATGATTGTGTGACGGGTACAGTAATACGCTCCACAACCATAAGCACACCCCATCCTCTTAGTACTTTAGAATAGCCTAATCTCAATATCCACATATCACATACCCACAACATAGATAGATTTAAACATGGGCACTAAATACATGATCTCAATTGACTAAGAACCTAAATGTACCAAGTGCTTAATAAATAATAGTCTTATCAGTGAAATAAGGAATAACATAAGTATCAAATTTTCATGTTTTTATATTTTGACTATTAAATGAATATATATTATTTATTTCTTGAATTTATTATAAATAAATACGAGTATATAGGGCCATTTTTAACAGATCTTTTAAGATGAAGAGTATAGAGACTAACGATTTAAGACTGATTTATGCTTCGAAAAATTCTTTAAAACATTATCTAAAATAAAAAAGTGATATATACAGATACTTCAAAAATCTTCAAATTTAGATAATTTCTAAAAATTAATTTCTTTTATTGTTTCTATCAATAAATATTTCATATATGTATTTTTTTCTAAATTGCATTGTAATAATAAATTTTACAGATTATTTTCATATAAGTGAGTTATTATGCAACTCTTTACATTTRTACAACCAATACAACTCAATCTYAACCGTCCATTTAATTTGATGAATATGTATTTTCATAAAAGTTTTGATTTATTYCTAATATAAAGTATTGATCATAATTAATAAACCTTAGTCATATTCCATAAATATTTAAATCATAATAAATGAACTGTCATCATTTTTATAAATATCTCAGTTGATTGGGTTGCATTGGTTGTATAAATGCGATGGGTTGCATTAGAAATATACCATATTTTCATAATATAAMGAATATTAGAATGCTCACTTTTGTTAGAGTTAAGAACCAACCAGACTGACCTAGTGGATAAATCAAGATCAATATCCCGTAAACTACTAGGGGCTCATGCAGTCTATGCTAGATTAATCGTATTCTGGGCCGACGGTTTCATTAGATATCATACAACTAGAATCCCTCTTTTTCCCATCCAGTCCCTCCACCACCACGAAGAACTTMTTGAATCCATCGTTTGGGCTCATAATAAATTAAAAGTTGCTCATGTTACCCAGTCGAGAGCCTTTTACTAGTACACCTATTATGATTCATAATATAGGAGTAAAAAATAGAGATAAGGGGTTTTTTTTCCCTTCAGTCGTAGCATTTGAAAACGGGTCGATTATTCAAGGTCGCATAAAAAGCGTAACGATTTGGGCACTGTCTCGGAGAGAGGCTCGGTGAGCTTCTAACCCTTTTYCAATGAAAGACCTTATTAGGTTAGGGTCCCTTGCAATATCTAATTGTAGGTATGAAAGTGATTTGYWRTAATCAAAGACTCTTATTACAAATTTCAACTTAGTTCTTACATATGATTTTTGAATTTATTCATAAGTAATTTGCGAGATCATACAGCCTTCTTTCGTAGGTATAACTTTCTYARTTATAACAGAAAAARTATAGCAGAAGTATAWTTTTTTYYTTTTTAWTKKTTTTTTAAAAAAATTATAAAAATATCTGTCATGAATGGCCGCTAACATGAATTTAGAGCATCGAAGYAAGGGAGCAAATGCATGTAGGCCCGCCACCACGTTAGGTTTCTCATTTATGCCATCTAACTTTTTTTTCGAAAATTATAATATTAATTATTACTATTTAAATATTTAATATATTCCCAAAAAAACTTAAATAAGTTTTATTTATTTAATATTAATATATTTAAATTTATTGGTAAAAACTATAATACTATCATAATACGRGCATAGAGCATACGGTGATGCCGTCCGTCTTCATTTTGTGAAGTCCCCGATAGAGGAAAAGGTTGTAGGTGATGGYGCGTTCTGCTTCTTATTTAGAAAGGGGTGCTGAAATCCTTTTTTATGGGCTCGTGTGTGGCAGCTGGTATAGATGAATAAAGGCGGACYGCTTGAACGAGACCTATTCTCTTAATATAATAGACGACAAAGCAAAATAGAAAAGCACGGAAAAGCCGAATGCAGGGAAACTTGCACATGTGGTTCTGGCCGGGACCCTGATATACTTTATTAATATGTGGGACCCTGATATACTTTATTAATATGTGTATGTCCCTGTAATTCGAGTGAGATTGTTATGGCGCAAAAGCAATTTTGGTTTCGATGACATGGTGATATTGGTGGTCAGAGCTATGAYGATGACATTAGGGGTGTGATGATATTTGATTTTGCTCCTCAACGTTATTTATTGCAAATTTTTCCCCGATGTTTGCATTTTGTCCCCCCTCCCCTACTTGCGGTCAAGATTTTAATATATGTACATACGTATAGTGACTTAATTATTTGAGAGCTCAAAATTGTGAGATCTATCAAATTTTAACTTAAGGTTTTGATTGATATGATTTTTTTTCCATCTACGTATAATATTCAATGTATTGATTAAAATATATTTGTTTCATACGTATTCGGTTCATAATGTATTTTTTATGTGTATTTTTTGTTTTACAAACACGTCAAAAAGGTTCACATTATAAACATAGTACATATAAAACAAATATATGTTATAGATGAAAAAAAAATCATATGAAATAGTTAGTTCTCAAAGATCTCACGTTTTAATGAGTTCTTAAAAGAAGGTCTCCCTAGTGGCATGCTTGCCATGTAAAATATGGGATGAAACCGTGAAGGGACCCTATCAAAAAATAAAAATGAAAAGAATTTTCCTAGTTTGGAAACAATTTTTTAAACTTTCTATCATGGTTCTCCCCAGTAATTTCTCGTTAGGGCCCTCA